ACACACACACACACACACACACACACACACACACACACACACACACACGCGCGCGCGCGCGCGCGCACACACACAAACACAACCCCCCCCCTCTCGTCATGACCGCAGGACCCGACCTTCATCTCCCGCCAAGTTCGCACGAAACCCCACCCTCTCGCCGCCCCCAATTCTCCGTCGACTACTTGGCATTGCTTCCGCGGCAGCCGTCCACGAGCATCGCCAATGGCAACATCATGAAATTCACAACAGAAAAAAAAAAAAAAAAAGAACTCGATGACGACGGCAAAGAACCAACTTTGATCAACACAGCACGCAATGGCCTACATGGCCGACCGACCACGGATGGCGGCAGCGATCTCCAACAGTGTTTGGCACATCATCCTCTGCGTCTCATCGGACGCCGCATAGTGCGCTTTTTAGACGGCAACTTCCTGCTCCAATATGTCGCATTGCTTCGTGAAGATGCTGCATTGCCGCTTGCTAGACGATTCGATCATCGACGATATCAGTGCGCCATGGCATTCCATGACATCAGAGATGGACTCGAATGCCTGCTGACGCGCGTTCTTCCACTTCCCGCCTCCCGCCCCGCTGCCTACGTTGCTGTCGGACTCCCTCGCAGAAGAACGCTCGTCAGGGCAGCCTTCACCGGCCGCCTCACTACAAACAGACTCCCCGCCACCCGCTCCTCGCCTGGGCAGCTGCACCCCATCCGGACTGCCGGTGTCGGCAACGTTGGGAGGGAAAATCGTGTGGTTCCCCACCATGCCTGCGTGGATCTCGTTGTACAGCGCCATGTCCATCCGGAACTTGAAGTTGTGCTCCTTCCTCTCTTCGTTCATCAGCCTGAAAAAATCTGGCCGCCCGCTGGCATTCTGAAACCTCTGAATTTCTTGTAGTTCTGGAACAGATTGTCCCACTTCTTCATGCAGTCGTCAGCGTCCTTCGGCCTCCCCGCATTCGCCATCCGCTTCGACATGTCCTCCCACTTCCACTCTTTCGTCTTCATCCGCCCGTAATTGTGAGACAAGCCGGCGAGGTGCATATCTTGCTCCCGCTTGCATCGCACCAGGAGCATTTGGTCTTCTGCAGACCAGTACGTCGGAGACTTCCCGGCGTCGTCACTTACGCCACCTCGGCCTCCATGGCCAACGGATCGACCACGGACACCACCTCTGTCGCGTCCTCTCCCCCTCCCAGCCGTCTTCCCCAAAGGCCGAATTGGAACGTCGTCGTCGTCGTCCCCCGCTTCCACGTCTTCCCTCATCCCTTCGTCTGCGTCGTCACCGAATCCAACGTCGTCTTTGCCTCCATCGCTGTGTGCCCGCATGTTCGACACTCCACGTGTTATGTTCTCCACAGTTGGTCGTGGATGTACCGGCGCTCTGCACGTTCCCTCGTCCCTCACTCCGGATTCGATCGGTGTTGTGCACGCAGGCATCAGCGAACGTGCACCGCCCATGCGCAGGGGCCCTGCTGCCACCCCGGGGGGTGCGGGCCAGGTCGGTGTCAATTGATCCACGGACAGAGCAGTCGATCCATGCTGTCGTCCTGCTGGCGATGGCCCGACCGCGCCAGTCACGGGTGCAACGCGACGAAGTGTGGACTGCTCCGTATGCAGACTTCCACCATGCTCAACGCCACGTGCCGAACGATCTCCGTCGATGATGAACGTACGGCTCGCATCCCTGCCGCCGCCAGAACACAACCCGAACCTCAGATCAACTCCTCCGCCGTCGACGTCCCGCAAGCCTTGATGCAGCAATGACGTGAGCTCGCCCCCTTCGTCGGGAGCCGACCCGCCTGCTCGTACCGTCTGCGACCACAACTGAGTCGAGCCGCTAGCGAGAGGCAACGTCGAAAGTTCTTCCTTCTCCGACTCCTCGTCCGACGGGGGCAATGGCGTGTCCCACGACTCCAGATGGGTGTACATGGACGGGTCGTACCGCCTTCGAGGCTCCGCCGCAGAAGATCAAACTCCTTCCTGACCTGCGGCAGCAGCCGGTCGTGCCTGCATGCCCGCCATTAAACGTTCGCCTGCCGCCCGTCTCGTCGAAGCCCTCCTCTTGCGTTGTTGTTTCCACGGCCGCCACGAAAAACACACGTGGAGGAAGACGACAATCAGGAAGACGACGACAGCGAGTACCAGCAGAGGCAATCTCCTCCGCACGTCAGCCATGAAATTCACCTCTGCAGCCGCCCTCGCACGTGACCACTGCAGATGTGTGTTCTGACATGCCCGGGACAGGGGCGCTCGACCTTCATATGCGGACAACCACCACAGAAGATGACGAACACGCCCGCCTTCCTTTTGAAATTCGGCCGTTGCAGCCCGCGCTGCCCAAAGCGGCTCCGTCTGTCGTCCTGCGCACGTCGACGTCCCACTCCGCATCTCGCAAGCGACCCAACTGTCCAGTACGGGCAACCACCCGCCGACGCTCGGCCCTCCGCACTCCACCCCCTCTGCCAACGGCTACTGTGCGTGGCCGTTGCCCGCGTCGAGCCGCAGAAAACCTCCGATGTCCGACCACCGACTCGACGGACCACTTCTGGACCACCAACGAGTGTCGACGGTGCCATGCGCGCGACGCAACGACTCCGTGAAACGCGGGAATCCTAAATTTTTCAGTAGGTCGGGGGCTACTGGAAAATTTAGGACGATTTTGCCTGGGGAATCCTTAATCTTTTAGGACTCGTCCTAACGCCGTTTGCACATTTTCGATCTCCGATTTCGTTTTAGGACTGTGTGCAACGAGGACGCAATCCTAAAAACCGGCATTTTTAGGAGTGTCTAACGAGACCCTAGTCCTTAAAAATTTAGGAAACCCCAGCCAGCCAAAAGTACCCAAAAAATAAAGCTCCTTGCGAGGAGCTTTAAAATTCGGAGGAACAAGGTGTCCGTGTGGAGAGGGTGTCCTCCGAGGATGACCCGTGGTGGCACCCTATTAGCTAAGACCCTGAGGCACGGATTTGTTTATTTTTCTCTTTTTTTTGTTTTAATGGCAACTTTGTCTTAGGACTGGTCCTAAACAGTGTTTTTTTAGGAATGCATGTAACCGCGATGCCACAATTCCTGAAATTGATTTTTTATTTTATTTATATTTTTTTTTTTATTTTTTATTTTTTTTTAAACATCGCTATGTCTTGGATCGTGCTAATGGAGGTGATAGGAGCATCCCCCATTAGCAGACCCAGTTTTGGATTGATTTAAGACTGGTCCTAAATCTTTTACGATTCCTTCAGGGGCGAGGTCCCACTAGCAAAGAGGATTGGATAAATATCCTGAAGCTGGAAGTGTTTGAAGCGGACATGCAGAAAGGCAGTTCAATAGCCACATTCTGCACCTTCCCACAAAAAAGTCCAGATTCAGGCGTTCAATCCAATCCTCTTTGCTAGTGGGACCTCGCCCCAGGAGTGTCCAACAAGCACCTTAATTTCACTACTTTTTTTTTCTTTTTTTTTTTTTTTAAGTGCCAGGAATCGGGCCTGGCATCCCTTACAAAAGTTTGTGCGGTCCTGATTTAGGGCGACACATCACCGGTTAAGCCCAAAAACTGGACTGCTACACACCACAAACCCTAAACTCAGAAATAACACAGAAGAAATTAAATCAGCCACTGCCCCTTCTGCAAACAGTTTTGCGGGTCGTTATTTGTGGGTACGGTTCCTTCTATTTTCACCTCAATTACAAGCACATATACATTCCCTTTTTACCCATCTATAAAAATTAAAATCAAAGTAGCGGTGCACATGCTGCTGTGACTCTTGGGAAGTATCCGGGCGCCGTGCACATCCATCCAGGCAAAACGGGTTGCATGCGATCCCTGTTTTGCCTGCCAGCAGATGGATGAGCTCAAATGATAACGGAGTTGGAGCTTTCCTTCCACAGATCAACAACATGATGAACTTGCCGCCGCAACACTCCACCCGTACAGCCCTTCTACTCCATCTGCTCATTGACAAGCTGTAGCGGAATCAATCATTACCTTCCGCGGTTAAACACTTGTCCCTCCAGTACTCTCCTTAGAACCTTCACGGCAATGGAGTCTCAAACTCTAAAAGCAATTAAATAAATCAATTATTAATTAATTTATTTATAAATTAATAAAATTAAGATGCTGATTCAGCATACGAACCAAAAAAGGCTTCTGGCAATCCCCTCAAAACGAAAGTTGAGGTAGGAATGGGGTGGGTCCTGTGAGCACCAATTTCAAGAGGGGGGAAAAAAAAAAAAACGTTTTCAAGAAGATCTGGTTACGAGGTCGTCACTTGTGGCCATAGCCAACTGACGTCCAATGAAGCGCCGCCCCGCTGTCCAGGCCATGAGAATTGCTTCCGGCCCACCACACCTAGTGGCTTATGTCGACACAATTCAGACGCGAACCATCAGCTCTTCAAGTCTTGTTCACTTCGTGGCGCCTCTGTTTGTGCTTTGCACTTACTGGTCGAAATTGCTTTCGTGTCCATCAACGGAGTACATCGTTGGAGCGGCAAAAGCCCTGAAGTTTGTGGCGCATGTACGACAAGGGCCGGTGGCCCGCGGCCGATATACGGGCCAAGACTCACCGCAAAGTACTGGTGGTTCAAAGAAAGGGTTGCAGGTGGCAGGATCAGGCTTTCCATCATGATGGCGCAACCAGCCTGGGCGCGACTGGTGATCGACCACTCCCTAACAGTTCTAACACCCTTTCCTACTCACACACAACTCAAGGACTCTTGAGTATCTCGTCTTTGCTTTGTCAGCGTTAGAAGCCTGTTCATTGCACTCCGTCGAGGATCTCCCTCAGCGCTAGACGCCTGTTCATTGCACTCGGTTGAGGATCACCCTCCCGAAATGGGAGACAAACTCCATGTACCCAGTTCGTCGGGTGTGACACCCCATCATTATTTTTACACTGGCAAGGATCACCTGCTCAGTGCACAGTGGACTCAAGACCCTCAACACCGCATTTACCATAGTCTTAGGGGTCTATTGTCCAACACATGACCCCAGTGAAAGGCAACATAAGGGTCTCTGATCTCTGCCGAACCAGTGAGCCTAGCTCAACTGGACGGCGGTGCGGCGGTGCCGTGCTCATTTTGCTGGAACCGATTTACCACTATCTTTCTTTGGGAAATTCAAGAAGGGAAAGACCAACACTCCAACGCCTTCGGATGAACAGTGCCATCATTGCCGTGGGGCCAAGATGACTGCTGGTGCCAGCCAAAAGAAAACAAAAAAGCTGTCGTGGCGCAGGGTTGCCAACCCCCGGCCCGTCAACCCTGTGCAGAGGTCCGCGGGTGGGCTAGGTGTTTCTGGCGTTCAAAACCACAAAAACGTGTACTCGGTTATACTCAGCCCGTGGACTACATTTTTCCGGTCTTTTAGGGCCCCCCCCAAAAGGAAAAAACGTCGGGGGATAGCCCCCGTCATGTACTAGCGCGGGGAAAAAAAACAAAAAAGATTGGACTTTCTTTTTTTTTTCTTTTTTCTTGAATGGAGGTCTTTTTGGACCTCAGAGGCCCATCTTCCCCTGGCCCTGGTCTTTTGTGGACGCTGTTCACGCACACACACACACACACACACACACACACACACACACAGAGAGAGAGAGAGAGAGAGAGAGAGANACACACACACAGAGAGAGAGAGAGAGAGAGAGAGAGAGAGAGAGAGAGAGAGAGAGAGAGAGAGAGAGAGAGAGAGAGAGAGAGCCATGATCGGGTTCAATTGTCAGGACGACGATGCAATTAGGCTGTTCCAAAGTAAACAGCGAACAAGACAAAAAAAGTCAAGATCAATGATCATCTTAGCAAGGCAACGAAAACATGAGTCGAAATCCAATTCTAGCAAAGATACAAAGCACATATCACATTGAAGGTTCGTACAAGAGAGCACACTAAGACGAGCGGAAGATACACAGAGTTACACCAAGGGAAAGCATAAATCGCACTTGAGATTCATGAAGAAGAGAGACTTCCCAGATATGTTCCCACCCCCGGCACGTTCTCTGGTGGAACTGGAGTGATATGGAATGGGTTAAAAAAGTGGGGGGGGGGGTGGGRGGGGAGATAGGTATGAGGGGCAAGGGTCAGGGCTCAGGGCTTAGGGCTCAGGGTTCAGGGTTCAGGGTTTAGGGCTTAGGGTTTAACTCGCAGTAGAGGGCACAACCAGCAGCAACCACAGTCAGTCTCAGTTTAGAATGCAGAACACTCGCACTCAACAAGGAAGGGTAGGACATGGGGCCCAGGGTCCAGGATTAAGGGATTACTAGCAGAAAAATGTAACGCAGAACAATTGTACTCGATAGAATACATGGCACCCCAGCTGAAGGGCGAAGAGGTGCCGAAGCATTTTCAAGAATTCACTCGACCGCAGTCAAAAAAAAGACGTAGCCAAGGGACCTGTGGTTTCTACATCTTCCCCTCCGCTACCGCTATCATGTAGGCAATCAACTTAGGCTGCTGCGTAGTTATAATTTCACTCATTTCAGTCATTTCAGTCATTTCAGTCATTCAGTCGTGTGCTTTCACAACCAAACAATTTCTATGTTCAGGGACGCTGGAGCCGCTTTGAAACAGGTGCTGCTCCCCACCAATAGATGGAGCCTCCCTGGGAGCTCTAGTAGTTGCGCCTGCTCTTACTATCCGCACCCCTAGCATCAGCCCGGGCTGTTTAAAAAAAAAAAAAAAAAAAAAAAGATGAAGAAGAAAACCAAGCCGCTGTTGGGCGGCTCAAGCCTTACGCGACCCTTTACTTCCTTGAGGATAACACTTGATGGGGACTGAAGTCGCTCAATTTGTCTGGCGGGATCGCAGCCGATACCAAAGGATATGGTATCAGATTCACGTGACAAGAATGGAGACCGAAGCGTCAAGAAGAAGCGGATCCCTGAGTTCTAGGTAAACGCCCTCCTTACGCGCACTACGGAGACTTATCATTGCCAAGGCACGAAGGGGCGGCTGCTACAGAGAGAGATCGGGGGCTACAGAAGACCGACAGGAACAAGGAGGCCAGGGTTACTTTGAATGTCGGGAC